AGAGAGAGAGAGAGAGAGAGAGAGAGAGAGAGAGAGAGAGAGAGAGAGATGCGGGGGGAGGGGAAGCGAGCCGAGGAAAGAGAGAAATTGGGATTGAGAGTGGAATTCTGCCAGAGCCCTCTTGAAACAACGTGGTTCTCCCTCGCCAGTAATTCAAAATGAAAACAGTATTAAGTTCTAAAAATACATAAATAAGTCCCAACGAAGTCTGATTTTCCCAGGATAAACACTAAAACTAAAACGAGAGAGGGAGAGAGAGAGAGCTGTTTCAGTGCCAGCTAGTTTACCTCCAGTGCGGGGCTGGACAGGGGCAGGGAACTGACATTTTGGGGAGACAAGTACTCCGCGCGCCGGCGACGGGGAGCGGCGGGTGGGAGGACTCGGGAAGAGCCCGGGCCAGGCCGCCCATCCCTCTCTCCGCCCGAAGTCCGGGGCTCCCCAGTCCGAGCGCAGCCGGCAGGAAGCGCCCTCCGCAGGCGCCTGGTGGCGGCGGGGTCGGGGAGCCCGGCGGACCCCGGCCCCGCAGGGGAGCCCCGGGAGCCTGGCGTGCGCGGAAGCGCCGTCGGGCGGGGCGGAGGGAAGCCTGACCTGATCGGAAAAGAGCGATCGAACAGGAGACTAATTCGTCCGCCGGGGTCCTCGCTGGCTCCGTGTGCCCGCGGGGCGGGGTAACCGCGGGGCTCTAGCAACTTCGCGAAAGAGAGAAAGAGGGGCCGGGGGCTCTCTGCATCCCCTTTCTGCGCTTGGGGGTCAGAGTTGCGCGCCTGCGAGGTTGGAGAGAAGCTAAGAGCGGGTTGCGAGGAAGACAGACAGACAGACACAGGCAGAGGCCGAGGCCTGAGAGGCGGCGCGGAAGGCGAAGGGGAGGCCCGCGGAGACAGCGCCCGAGTGCAGCGCCCGAAACCCAGCGAGATCGGCGAGCAACCAGGGTGCACCCTCGGCTCCTGCTCCCGCGGCTTCTCCAGCCACAGCCCACGCGCCTGCTGCGCCCCCACCTCAGGCGGCCCCCTAGCCCTGCCGCTGTCAGACTTGGGTCTCACGTGGGGAAGGGGAAGGCGAAGAAAGTGTGCCAGATCTGTCCACCCAATTTCCGAGTTCCCTGCTTGACCGGACAACTTACATCAGCACTGTGCCTCCAAGTTCTCATCTGTGAAGTGGGGTTTGAAATGGTCCCTCCTCATCACGCTCACCGGATGATCTCTTCTTAGGTTATATAAATGTCTAATCACTAAGTTGTAACCAACTATAATTGAAAAATAAAAATAAGATGGCACCTACCCACAATGTTGTTTAATGATGAATAAATTAATGCACACACAGTGCTCGGAACAGTACCTGCCACACAGGAAGCCCTCAATATATATCTTACATCATTAGTATTCGTTTATGCAACAGACATTTGTGGAGGCCCTGGACTGGGTTCAGGGCGGCAGGGGGACTGGGCCGACGGAGTACCGGCTCGCCCTGAGGGCATTTACTGATCAATAAGTAAAGAGGGTGCTATGGGGAGAAAGAAGGACTGAGAAAGAGGTAAAGCGCTGTTGTGTGGCAGTGTGCCTGGGGAAGCACATTTAGGTAGACGGAGCCGCCTTCTCTGGGCCTCGGCCTCTCCTTCGGTAAGAAAGATGGACTTTTAGACGCTCTGCCCTCCTGCGGACGGGCGCGTTCTGGCGCTGGAGCCAAAGGTGGGAGCTGGGCGGGGAAGAACGACGGCGGGAGACCCCATCCCTCGCGCCTCCTCGGCCCAGGAGCCCCGCCCCCCGGGAAGGAGGCTGCGCGGAGAGATGCTCGCCGCTCTCCAGGGTTCTGCAGGGGAGAAAAGCTCCCGAACCGGCCGGCTTCTCCGAGGCACCGTGTCTTCGCACCATGGGCTCCTGGAGAGCGACTTCACCGGCCCTTGGCTCGGTGGGACACAGTGTGCAGAGGGACCTCTCTCATGCTGTGCGGCTTGCTCCTGGCAGCCACGTCCTGAGCGGGAGGGCACTGCCACCGTCCTCCGAAGATGAACGGACTGTGGCTCACAGAGGGAGAGCATGTGGACCACTCCAGGCCCTGAATCTGCCCCTACAACACGTCATCTTTCTTTTTCCGAGCATAAATAATGTTTTAAAGAGACCACGTATCCATTCGTGCCTACTATGTGTCAGGCCCTGGGCTTATGTGACTCCTGAAAGTTAGAGTCTGTTCCAGTGTTACAGATGAGGGTCCTGAGGCTCAGAGCCGTAGAGTCACTGACAAGTAGGAGAGGAAGTAGGGGCTCCCCCCCAGGTGGGTCCGCGCCAGACCCGGAGTTGTTCCCATCTCCGCAGGAAAGGAAAAGAGCGCAGGCAACGCAGGGTCATGAGAAAATCAGGCACACTCAGCAGGGAGAGCTCACCCCCTGATCCTCCCCCCTGATTCTCTCTCTGGGTACCAAAGGGCCCCATCACACAGCACCTCCTCTGTACCGATGAGCACCAGAGTGAGGCAAGGCCTCTTCTGATGTAAACAGGAAGGAAACTGGCTACCTTAGAATGGAAGCTTGAGATGCAGACCACCAGGTAGACCCTGACCCCACCCCCAGGGATACTTGTCTGTTCTTGATGGTCTCTGTTCTCCCCTACACTCCCTAGAACCTAGAGAGTATGAAGTTGGAAGGGATCCTTTCATTTTTCAGTCATTCACTCAACAGATATCTATTGATCTATTTATTGTCTGCCACTCTGGCCCAGACCTTGAGCTGGCGGCTGGGCTTGAAACAACAAAACTGACACTACCTTAGGCACTCAGAGAGGAAGCTGCTGGGCAGAGGTCACATGGCTCAGACTCCCGAAGCCTTCCCCCTGGCCCACAGATGACTTTCAAAGTCCCACCTTGACAGGCACAATGCAGCTTCCATATAAACAGCCCTGAATAAGGGCCTCGCCTTCTCTTGGTGCAGTTTAAAGAAACGCCCCCTCTGGGCCTTGGCCAGTGAGTGTTGCAAGTTTGCAGAATTTGGGAAAAGAACATCTGCTCTAGGTGGCTTTTCAATGACAATATAATTTTTGTGAGGCTTTCCAGCCATCAGCAGAGGCTTAGAGAGGTGGCGAGACTTGCCCAAGGTCACACGGTAGGAAATGGCCCACCAGGATGCAAGCCAGGCCTATGTAAACCCCAAACCGGCTAGTACCCTCCACCTCTTCCACCAGCCGCGAGAGGTGTGTGCGTCCAACAGACGAGTGGCAAAGGCGACTGCACAATTCCGGAGAAACCACAGCTCCCGTTGCTTCCTGAGCGAGTCCAAGTAGAAAGGCAGCGGCGCCGGGCCGGCGCACTGCGGGGTGGGAGAGGATGGAGTGCGTCCTGGCCCGGCCGCAGCCCCTCACCCCCCCCCCCCCCCCGCACACACACACACACACACACACACAACTTCCCCTTAGAAACTGGTTAAAATATTGGTGCGCGCCGGCAGTCGCAGGCGCCTGGACTGGACCAGGAAACGCGCGGGTCCCGCTCGTAACCCAGCCGGGCCGGTACTGACGCAGATCTTGCGCTCAGGCGACTCACCCCACCCTCTCCAAAAAAGTCTCCTAAACTTTAGAGGTTACTAATTTAAAAGAAAAACTCAATAAATAACAGCAGGGAACTTTTAGAATAGGAGATGGAGGCGGATATCCGGTTCTTTCCCGGGGGCCAGAAAAGCCTACGGCTCTTACCTGCAGGAAACCTCGCAGCCCGCAAAGGCGCGCCTGTCTGCAGCGCTTCGCTTCGGCGCGGGACGCTCCCGGCCGGCCGCCTCCTCTGCGGCCCGGCTGGGCTCCGGCCCTGTGTTTTATACCACTATAGGCAATTAATATTGCATCAGCCGTATTTTAAATTTTCAAAACCCACAATATAATGTAATGGCATAAGGGCATTTATTATTAAAGGACACCCGATGGAGAGGGAGGTGGAGGAATCGCTGGGGCTGTTACACAAGGCGGGGGCGAGGGGCTGAGGCCTGGGGGCTGAGGGCGATCCTCAGGTTTGCTTTCGCAGTGGTGGTGGTGGTGGTGGTGGTGGGAGGCGGGCACCGCGCGGAGGGGCGACCTGCTCGGCTCCGAATTTCGGGCTGGAGGTCTGATGACCCAGAGCTCTTTGAAGATACAGTGGAGAAATGAGCAGACGACTCCTGGACTTGGAGCATGAATTTTTAAATCATGAAGTGGCTCACAAATAAAAAGGTTTCCTCCCCTTTTAGAGGGAGTGGATGAGAGCGAAGGGAACTAGCATCTGTTGACCGCCTACTGTGTACAGGGCACTACCTTAGGAACTTTGCTGCAGACATCTTCTCATTTAACGCTCCACAGGGAAGCCGAGATAGACATTAGAGTGAGTAACCTCTTGGGGGACAATTCCAAAGGAATTCCTGAAGAGACCACCAAGGGGCCCCAACGGACTCTGTTCTAGCAAAGAACATTTTCCTCCCTCTGTGTATCCATCCCCTCCTTCCCCGGATGGCTGTTTGAATGTATTAAAATAATAATGCTTCCTATTAAGCACCAACCACTACCAGGAGCCTTAAATAAACAACCTTAGTCCCGACAATATTCGCATCTTCTTCCAGCATACGAACAACAGGGGCTCAGAGAAGTTAAGAGACTGGCTTTCTGGTCGTTCTGCCAATAAGTGGAGGCATTGGGAGCTCATGCAGCCGTCAGGCTTCAAAATTTGTCAGCCGAGTCAAGTTGAGCAAACAGAGGCTGATGGATGGGCGCGGAGGGAAGTGACTTGAAACACTGAGGTCTGGGCACCACCAGCGGTGTCGGGATCTCCCAGGAGGAGACAGGTGAAAGGATGAGGCTTCCAGGGAAGAGGGGAAGGAGAGGAGATGGCATGAGACTGGCCTTCCAGGAAGTGACAGCCAGCCCTTCTGGGCTCTCACTTTTAAATCCTTTCCAAAACTCCTTAGCCTCTGAGAAAGAAAAGCACTGCGATTCGGGTTGAAAAATAAAGCATTTATTTTAGAAGTTAATTGAAGGGGTAAAGAGAGGAGAAAACTTAATATTTTATTTGTATCTGTTCAGAGAACGAAACCAAAGACCACACAGCAACACGCAAATTACATGAAGCAACGAAAGATAAAATGTGATGGGGCTAGAGAGAGTGAAGTGAGAAGGATCCAGGCCGGCGGTCTGGCCCCTCTTTCCACCCAAAATTATAAGTGAATCTCCACTGAGAGGCACTCATATAAGGGGGATGAAAAGAAGCGACGTTAAATAAATAATGGGAAACAAAGATGCTAACAATAACAACAATGAAAGGGTGACGAGGTTAGATGTGTTGGGAGGACTTGCATATGACTCGGAGAAATTACAATTACTTTCAAGCAGCCGCCTCTACAGTGCGCTGGGAGTCTGGCTGGATTAGCGAGCTGGGGTCCAACGCTATCCGTCAGTCCGGAACCCTACCAACCCCTGGCTCTCCAGCAGGCGGTAATTACCAGCGGATGGACCAAAGCAGGTGTCCACTGCTGCTTGCAAATAGCTAAGCCACCCCAGCATGTAGGCCCTTTTCTGGAGTAGGACCTACATGGAGAACCACTCAGAGCCCGGCAACTCCCCGCACAATTTCCCTGAACTAATCCATGCTACCTTAGAGAACTTACAGCAAACCAAAGAATGAGATCGATAAAATTTAGGTGGGGAAGGGAGTAGTATAAGGCTATCCTTTGGAAACATACATAATTTCATATAATCTAAATAAATCTCCAGTACATCTTCGTGCCCCAGTTTGACTTTGTATTATTATTTATCACTTCCTTCCCATCCCTAGTCGAGCTTAGCAATGTGGCCCCTTCACCGCAGAGTCGTGTGGTCGGTCCAATTCACTAACCCCTGCGTTTGGGCTCCTGCCCTGAAGTCGCGCAGTCCAGGGCGCAAGGGAGGTTTTCAGCACCACGGACAGCACAAGTCCCTCCAGGCTGGCCTTTCGTGAATTTTTCCTGGGTGCCAAAACTTTTCTGGTGGGATTAGAATGGGAAAAAGAGAAAGGGAAGGCCGGGAGACAACCGGGTGGGATAAAGGGGAAAGTCTGTGGCTTCGGTGAAGAGAGGCTGACCTGCCAGAAGACGTCTTGGAGTCCCCCGTTCCCGTCCCCCCCGGGACGAACACAGCTTTCCCGGCCCCCAGAGGCTGAGCCCCGCCGCAGTCAGTGGACAGCCGAGTACTTCATTCGTTTCTGTTTCTGTCTCTGGTTGCAGAACCAGACCCTCACCACGTTCTTTTTAAGGTCCAGTTTCTCCGCGATGGCCGCGATCTTCTCAGATGAGGGCCGAGGCTGGATGGCGAAGTAGGCCTCGAGCGAGCGCTTCTCCGGCGCCGCTATGGACGTGCGTTTGCGCTTCCGCTCGCTGCCGTTGAAGAGCTCGGGCTTGCTGTTCTTCTCTCGGTAGGCGGCCTCGGCTTCCTCCAGCCACGCCTGGAGCACCGGCTTGAGCGCGATCATGTTGTTGTGCGAGAGAGTGAGAGACTCGAACCTGCAGATGGTGCTCTGGCTGAGCGAGCCGACGCCTGGGATCTTGAGGTTGGCCAGCGCCGCGCCCACGTCCGCCTGGGTCACCCCCAGCTTGATGCGCCGCTGCTTGAAGCGCTCGGCGAAAGCCTCCAGCTCTCGTGGGTCCGACTCCACGTCGCTGAGGCATGCGGGCATAGCGCTGTGAGGCGCCACGGCGTGTGGGTGACTCATGCCCATGGCCTGGTGCAGGTGGCCCATGGCGCCCAGGTGGTGCGGGTGGATCTGCGCTGGCATCACCGAGTGCTCGGGGGCGCCCAAGCCGCTGACGCTCAGCGTGGGCGAGATGTGCTCTAGCAGGTCGCCCTCTAGGCCCTGGTGCACCGCGTGGTGCGGGTGCGAGGTGAGCGCGGCCGGGTGGGAGATGGGCACGGTGGACGAAGTGGACGTGCAGGGCACGCTACTCATGGTATGGTAGGTGGCGTCGGGCTTGAACGGATGGTTCTTGCCGTGGGAGACGATATCCACCGCCGCCAGAGCTTCGGCGCGTGCCAGCAGGCTCTCATCAAAGCTTCCAAATATATTACCCTGCAGCTGCAAGCGAGAAGGCGCACAGCACGGTCAGTGGGGAATACTGTCAACTCAGGATTAAAACACATTTTCAAGCAACCGAGATGCCTCTCCTCAAAGCCCAGGTCATAAAAATTAATACGGAGACAGAGGCTCTGCTGGAACAGACGTGCGGATCAGAGACATGAATGAGAGAGAGCGCGCCGGGAGAAAGCGCGGGGGAGACAAGCGAGGGGTTCAGACAGCGGCGATTGTTCTGGGCGACATGAAAAAAACATGAAGCGAGTGCCTGTCAAAAAATGTGCCTTGGAGCGGTAATTATGCTCCACTACGTACCTGCGGGGCTGGGAGACAGACTCGGCGCATGGCCTCGGAGCCGGAGTGCAGGCTGGAGAATTTGGGTTCTTGAAGCACCGGGTGCATGCCGAAAGGCTGCTTGGTGTTCATGGCCATCATCTTCGCGCGCCTAGCAGGGAGGCAGCGAGGGACATGGATCGGGCTCCTCTCGCTCGCTCGCCGCGCTCCAAGTGAGCGCCGCTCAGCACCCGCGCTCCCCTCGCCCTCTCGCTCGCTGCCTCCCCTCTCCCCCACCTGCTTCTTCACTCATCTTACAAGCAGCCTGCCAGGAAGGGCCCGGGAGCGCGCAGGCGTGCTCACGCGCCGGGACTCGCCGGGGCCGCCCCGGAGGCAAGGCCAGGCTGCAGCTCTCCGTGCGCCTCTCTGCGCCCGCCTCGGCATTTATACCCCGGCCCGGCCGGGCCGCTCCCGGCCTGCCCCGCCCCGCCCCGATCCAGCCCGGCCGATCTTCCGGATTCTTTCTTCTTCTTCGTGGACTTTTTTCCCCGCCAAAGTCCCAAACCTCTCCCTCCTGTCCCAACTCGCACTGCCCAGACAGAAGGGTAAGGGTAGCCCAGGCTGAGCGGGGCCCAGAAGCTGACTCCCCTCCCCCGCCACACACACACACACACACACACACACACACACACACACACACACACACACACTCCTTGTCGGACCGGCTGCCGCCAAACTGCCCATTTCCAGGGCGCTCCTGGCCCCACGCCCGAGCCGTCCACTAGAGTCCGGCCCCGCGACGCAGCAAAGAAGCAGGCGCCTCCGAGCGCCCAGACGGGCTCCGGGAAGGGTGAGGGGCTGCCATCATGAGCCCAGGTGACCCTCACCCCCAGTTGCCCGGCGGCGTTGTTGAAGTGGGGAGGTAACTGCCTGCCCAGTCCAGGAGGCCTGTGGCTTCCTCCCCACCCTTGCCTTGGCTTAAGACAACTTGGCCCCTTCCCCCTCTCCTCAACCCGCCAGCCTAAGGAAGCTTACTAAGTACTTTTTAGAAGTGAGTTCAGGACTGAGCAGCGACCTTGGGAGTCGGTGCACTTCTGCCTGGCCGCCAGCGCTGGCAGGCCCCAATCCCCATAACAATAGTGACCGCCGCGGAGCTCCTAATATGTGCCGGGCAGCTCAGAGAGTTGGCTCCTGGTGTCCTCACACCCTATGGCGTAGGTGCTGTTATTGCGTTTTACAGCGGAGGAAAACCCGGGTCAGAGGGGTTAAGTAATCGGCCCAAGACAACATGGCTGGCTGGGAACAGAGCCATTCATTCACTCGCTCCTCACGGTATCCATTCACAAATAGTTACTGGTGGCCCACTGTGTGCCAGGCGTCCGCGTCGGACTTCCCAGGCTTTTAGTCACTTAGCTACCCTGTCTTCCTTTCTGAAGTTTCTGAACGGAAGTGCTCCGGTTAGTATTGCCCGCCCCGCCTCCCCCCTGCTCGCATCCCCTCTCCTTCCCTCCTCTCCTTTCCCTGCACTAGTAAACATCGTGAATAATGGATGGGGAATCCTGGGACTGTGGCCGCGCCGCCCTCCGGAGAGAGCAAAACCAGGTTCAGAGAGAAGCCCTGAGCGCCCAGCTGAGCCCACGTCGCGGAGGCCGCCGCCTCCACTAGGGGAGAGAGGCCTCGGGGGTTCAAAGATCTGCCCAGCCTGCGGGCTGAGCCTCGCGCGCCGCAGGGTTTGGGCGGGGCGGGGGGGGGGGGTTTCCCAGATGTTCACACGGCGGGGGCGGGACCACCCAGTGGCCTAAAGGGAAGGTCTGCCTAGATCCGGGTTTCCTGTCCTGGGGTCTCCCCATCCACTGCGTCGGAGCCCTTGGCAGCTCCGCCCTGTAACTTCCTCAGAGGGCTCAGCCAGGCCCTTTTGCTAAACCTCTCTGAGCCTCAGCTACCTGGCTCTACAATGGGAATTTCACTCGCGTTTGCCTTTTCCGGTTCTGGTGAAGACGTTTTGAGCCCAAGTAGAAAGGAAAGCATTGAGCACCGATCCCTCGTGCTCAGTAAACCTCCTCACAACCTGGTGCTTTGGGGCACAGGTCCTGCCCTCGGATTCAAAACGCGTCTCTGCCTCTCGCTGGCTGGGAAGCCTCGAGCCATCTCAACGTCTCTCTATGACAGTTTCCTGTCTGTTAAATGGGGATAATAGTTGCTCCTCCACTGATGGTTGTGAGGCATACACTGAGATAAGTATTTGGCACAGTGCCTGGCACATTGGAATCATGGAATAAGTGTTCCTCTCTTCTTCCTCCTTCAATTTAAAGAGAAGGCATTTGGGAGTGGGAGTGTCCTGGGTCATCGCCCTGGAGATGGCTGGTCTGCAGGTGCAAAGGGGCTCATTGGTCTCCTCCATTCATTCAGCACCTGCTTGGTGCCAGACCCCATGCAGGGGGCTGAGACCCCGCTTTGGGTCCACTCCTTCCTGGCCCTCACAGAGTCACCAGTCTAACGTCCACTGCAGAAAAAGGACTGGGCACTTGCACAGCAGTAGAGGGATGCAGATTCATGCACAGGGCACAGAGCAAGGCTGGTGGGATTCTTGGAATACAGAATATGCACCAGAACCGTGGGCCTCAGGAGGGCTGGGGTTTGGACAGCATTCTAAAACCGGGTCTGTCTCACAAGGAGAGGGCTGGACTAGATGACTGCTAAGTGCCTCAGCTCCTGCAAAAGACTGTCGTTCTGGTTAATTTAAGTGAAACATATTTTGAGCAAATCAGAGCTTTTCTCCAGAGACATTCAACTCCCCAGAAGCTGAATGCAGTGTTATTTTATCACTCACCAGCATCTAGGACCATTCATTCTTGTTTCTGCCCAAAGCCAAAAAATAAAAGGGGAAGGGAAGCTGGGGATACTGCATCCTCCAGGGAGAAGAATATAACTAGCCCAGAGCTGGTGCCTTGAGACCACACTCGCTCCTTAATATCTGAGTTGTCTGTGAAGCTGAACCTCCAGAAACAGAGGGAGAGGCCCATCCACAACCATCCTTCTCTGCTTTGTCCCCTAAGGGGCCTGGGAGATACTAACCAGGGTTGAGGTCAGGCAGGGGTCAGAGACAGAGCAAAACCAACAGGCCCCCTTAGGCCTCCAGTGCTGACCTTCAGCTCACCAGCTTCCACTCCAGCATCCCAAGGCATTAGGATCACAAATCAAAACCCAAGCTTGCGTCTGGCAACCTGTCTTCCCTGGGTGTTCCCCATCCTTCTTTTTAAGGTCCTAGCCACTCTGGGAAGCCAGCAGTGAGATGATGCCCATCCTTCGGGACAGTCTTTCTGAGAAGGCCCTGGAATAACGGACTGGAGAAGAAAGGAGGAAGAGACCATACAGAAAGCAACTGGAAGGGGAGCCTTAGAATACAGTTGATAATGTTCTCTACACTTTACAGGATTTGCAAACTTAAATTCTGTTAGGAGCAAGTCCAGTAAGATAAATGAGCGGGGCTCATAAAAGGGAAGATGGGGCCGGAACTGGTTTGGCTCAGTGGATAGAGCGTCGGCCTGTGGACTGAAGGGTCTCAGGTTCGATTCCGGTCAAGGGCATGTACCTGGGTTGCGGGCACATCCCCAGTAGGAGATGTGCAGGAGGCAGCTGATCGATGTTTCTCTCTCATCGATGTTTCTAACTCTCTGTCTCTCTCCCTTCCTCTCTGTGAAAAATCAATAAAATATATTTTTTTAAAAAAAAGGGGAAGATGGGGACTGTGATAAACTGGAGAGCACATACCCGCCCCCTTACCTTAAATGAATGAATGAACTTAATCAATTGTAATTAAATTACAATTAAAATATACCCCCACCCCTCCACACACACATGCATACACAAACATACACACACACACACACCATATAGGCCAAACAAAAAACCGGCTGAGGGTCCAAGTAAGAACCATGTGGGCACTTATGCAAATGACATTAAGGGGCATTTTCTTCATTCTACAATCATTTCAAAATACCTGCTGACTGCTGGGTCTTGTGATCGATTCTGCAGATATAGTGCACACTGTTTTAGGGACTCAGAGTCTAGTGGGGACATAAAATTGCCACATGTAAGTTGAAATCAGGACACAAAGTGCTATGTCCTCCGGAAGGACCAGCTCTGTAGGGATGCTGGGGCAGGGGGCAGAGGCATTTTCCTGTGGGTCAGTGGTTTTCAACTTTAGTGCGAGTAGGAATTATCTGGAGCCTCTTAAAATACAGCATCATAGGATCATAGAGATTTTGACCACAGGGACTAAGTTGACTTTTAATAAGACATCCATGATTCACATACAGGTAATCTGGACTCAAAGAGACAGTTTTCCTTCTTTGAGCTTTTTGCATTGTTCTCTATTATCCCTTAGAAAGAATGTGCTGTTTTATGATCTGTGCTCCTTGAAGGACCCTGGGACTTCTTTGAGGATGAATCTTACCAGTCCCTGTGCCATGTCTACAAGCTAGGCATCATGTAGGAGCTTATACAAGAATTTGTGTTGAACGAATACAGGCATGAATAGTATCCTCCCCAGGATTCTGACCTATGATGGTAGTGACAACAATAAGAGCCATTTATGGAGTGGTTTTTGAGTGTCACGCTCCGGGCTATGTGCATTAGACGTATTGTACACTGAATCCCTACATCAAGCCAATGAGGTTGATAATATTACCTCCATTTACAGATGAGAAAACTGAGGCACAGAGATTGAATTGCCCAAGGCCACACAGTTAAGCATTGGTAGAGTGAGGACAGGAACCCAAGTTGATTTTAACTAACATCATAGGCTATCACCAGTTTCAAGGCCCCCCAAGCTCAGGGGCTAAGGAATTGGGTGCCCCGGTTTTACTTCTCTCCCACAAGGCAAGAAGGTCTGGCTTTCAGGGGCTTAGAGGCTGGCCCTGCTCCAGGCATACTTCCGGAGGTACCTTCATGGAGAAGCCAGCAACTACCCCCTCCCACCTCCATCCCTGGCCAAGCTCCACCTTGGAGAGTTGGGGAGGGGGAAGGGGGTGGAATGGGAGATGGCCCTGATAGGACAGCCGAACTCAAGATGCCATGGCGGGGAGGCAGCTGGCGGGGCTGCCTGGCCAGGTGTTCGCAGCCATCAGCCACGCCTTCCTCTCCCTTTCTCTCATCTCCTTTCACAAACTTCTCACATGTACTGGCCGCCTGCGCAGCTGCTGCGGGACTCGCCTGTCGGCCGCTCGCCTTGC